GCCCCACCATGATGCCTCCTGTTACAAAAGGACAATCACTTCTAATAACTTGTTTAGCTGTAAACTAAATGTTAGAATTCATCCTACATCCACCCAACCGGTGGAGGCAGATGGCCGTCCCTCCCTGAGCCTGGTTCTGTCCGAGGTTTTTTTCCCCTGTGGGGGTTTTCGGTTCCTTCCCACCAGTAGACTGCTGAAGCTTATAGAGAATCCAGATGTTTTGGATTGTTGGGTGTTTCTGCCTCTGTCTTTGTGAAGCGCTATGAGATGACTTGTTGTTGTAAATATGCGCTATACAAATAAAATGAATTGAATGATAATAATAATATTTTAGATCTGTTCACGTAGTTTTTGTTTGCAATTGGCCAGAAACCTGCAGATAAATGTGTAAATCCTCGAAGCGTTTCCTGTCAGACTGGTTCCATGACACGTGCTCCGTGTCCTGCTTCGCTCCGAGTCGCTCATTTGGTTCAAATGTTTTCCTTCAGAGCAAATCAAGGCACAGGGTGAAATAAGAACGTGAATGTGTTCTGATCCTGGATCAGCTGCAGCTCAGCCGTTTGTTATTCAGGACAATAAACCAGCTTCTAAGTTCTGTAAAACATTTTGGCAGAATTTTCTAGAATTTTATGTTTTCACACCTGTGAATTTTTGCATTTTTGCCTGTGAGGCCATTTGAAGGGTTTAAAATCTCCTGTGGAGAGAACGAGGAAATGCTCCAAAGGCTCTGAACACGTTTCACCTTCTTCAGTTCTGAATTGAAGAAATGTACATCAAGCCAGTCTAGAACAGAAGAGCCGGCCTTAGCAACACCTCTGGTCTGCAGAGCAACGGGACTACTCCCTGAGAGGCAAAACTGAGGGCAAAGGCGCTCAACAAGCCCCGTTCACAGAGATCTCAGTGAGGAAACAAACTACAGACTGGAGGAACAAACACTCGATGCTACAGGATGACGATTAAAACGTTCGCGTCACTAGTTTCAAGCTGTGGCATAGAGTCTACACGTTCCTCACAAGAATTCATCTGAAGCAGATGTCCTGCTGCTGCTTCTACTCCTGATGTGTTAACGCGACGTTCTCAGAGGAAAGAAAAGCGGCTGTAGCTCGTTAGCTGCTGTACTTCTGTGGTTCAGGCTGCTGTGGTCACATGACCTGCGGCTGCTCCTCACCTTCGCTCCTGCTCGCTGCTCCATCCTCCTCCATGCTGGATCTGGGCGTGCAGTTTGTCCAGAGCCTCCTTCAGCTGCTTCACCTGCTGCTCGGCCTCAGACTTCTGCTCCTCCAGCTCACTGATCTCCAGCTGAGCACAAACCAAGGACACCACATCTGTCTGCGCGTTCACATCTGTCTGCGCGTTCACATCTGTCTGCGCGTTCACATTTGTCTGCGCGTTCACATCTGTCTGCGCGTTCACATCTGTCTGCGCGTTCACATCTGTCTGCGCGTTCACATCTGTCTGCGCGTTCACATCTGTCTGCGCGTTCACATCTGTCTGCGCGTTCACATCTGTCTGCGCGTTCACATCTGTCTGCGCGTTCACATCTGTCTGCGCGTTCACATCTGTGCCTGCTCATGACATCAGGAAGGTCTCTGAGAAAACTGGAGCCAAACACATGGACTCATGGTCGGAATATAAGTTTGAATGTGTTGAGTCAAAATTAGAATAAATGGAATTAAAGCTGGAATGAAAGTTTAATGGAATACACGTCTGAATATATGGAATAAAATTCTGACTACATGGAACAAACCTGAATATGTGGAACCAATGAAGTTACAGTCAGAATATATGAAAAAACTGAAACATGTGGGATTCAAATTTGAACAAAAGTCCAAATAAATCAAATAACAGAATATGTATTGAATGGAAATCTGAATATATGGAATGAATTCAGAACATATGGAATGAAAGTGAGTTTGGAATAAAACTTGACTTGTTAGAGAAACGTTATCGTCCGACCCACCACCAGGGGGCTCCACCTGAGACAGGCCAGCTGCTGTCTGAGCTCACCTTAAAGGCTTGAGAAATGTCTTTGCGCTCCACCTCCATGCTCTGCCTCATCAGGTCCAGGCTGCGCTCGTAGTAGTTCACCTGAGGAGGACGCCGCAGCTGTTAGACAGACGGGTTAAAGGGACAGGTGTGCTGAACACCTGATCACCGGGTTACCTGCGTCTCCAGCTGGATGTTGAGCTGCTGCAGCTCCTGGCTGTGGTTCTGCTTCAGCTGCTCCAGAGCCAGCTCAGTCTGGATGCTCACAGCCGGACCGGACACGTCGTCCAATGAGCAGAGAGCTAAGGGAGGGGGCAGGACAAAGGGTCAGTGTGCCTGACTGACAGGTGGATCAGCCAATCACACGCTGAGGCAATGCCACAGCGCTCCACGGTGGTGGTGTTGTCCAGGTTCTGACCCAGCTGGGTTCTACTGCAGCAGATCTCTGGGTTAAGGTGTTTCTGAAGACTTTGAGACTTCTTTTGAATGAAAAGTGCTTAATAAATAAAATGTATTATTATTATTGAAGATGCATCGCAGTCATCACGGGCTAGTAGTAGCTAGTAGTAGCTACTAGTACCAGCTCATCAGGTTAGTCGATTCATGTTCCTTAAAATGGACCTCCGCTCCCCGGTACTGTGACATCATCAGTCAGATCCTCAGATTCTTTACAATCAAACTCGTCTCTCACCAGATTTGTCCGCCGGCTGCAGCTTCTTCCTGATCGCAGGACTCGAGCTTCGCTTCATGTCCGAGTCGTCTGAGCAGAGTTAGAGTGAAGAAACAGACAATCACTGATCAGACTCACTGACACACTATGGACGCACCTGTGTGTGTGTGTGTGTGTGTGTGTGTGTGTGTGTGAGAGAGGTGGGCGTGGCCTGCTGGCTACCTGCACAGGTCGGACCTGAAAGTCCAGTTAAAGTCTCGGCAGAAACAGTTTTACATCCAAACAGGTTTCATGTGTTTAGCAGCGTCTCTTCTTCTGTCCCATCAAATCTGTCGTGTTCAATATTGACTGATCAAATGATCGATCAGTTGTAGATGTGATCGATCAGTACAGATACTAAACTTTATAAACTGATTAAATCAGGAGATAATTGTCAGATCAGAACTCATCTATCATCAGTGTGTATCAAAGCTTCTGCATCCTGAATGTGTGTCCGTGTTGATCAGACGGGGGTCGTACGTACATCAGCCATCAGTGGTGGTAGATCCCAGGTGTTCTTCACCTGCCTGCTCGCTGCCTTCAGTTCACCACATACGGCAACAACACGCCTCTTTATGAAGCAAGTGGAGATTTATTTTCCTCACCTCATCGTCATCGTGGCAAAAAGGGCGACAAAGAGGAACTTTTCTGAACCTGAGATCGAGCTGCTGGTCAGGTTGAAGCAAACCAGAGAGTTTTGCTGATGACCACCACAGGTACTCCTGCTGGTCAGAGGACAGATCGCCGGCAGAA